TTTTACCGATTAAATCATTTGGCTTTCACTCAGCGATCGTTTTCACAACAGTTTCGCAATAAAAGCGTTCAAAATCTGGTTTACGACTCAAATTTACACGACTTTCTCTTTAAACAAAACTTTGGTCCGAGTTTTGAATTATACGACTTTATGTCCAATTTTTGATAGAAAATTATGATTTTATTTTCGCAGACATTAACCAAACGATATACGGCTTTACATACAAGTCGACGGATCAGTTGCCGGGCAATCATAACGATTATAACGCCTGTATATACCAAAGTCTATCCAAAACCCACAACTCTTACGCCAAACAGAGGTTCGGGGCGTTTATGTACTCAGCCTATGGTCTCTCTAACTCGACATTCAATACAATTGAGTTTCACAAAATGTTTTGCCGCAAAATGTCGGACGAGTTTAAAGACACGGTTTCGATGACATGTGAATACACGGACGGCAACCGAATGAATGAATTGTTTCTTTTGCAAAAAGTTATACCAAATTCAGGAGAACTCGAGTATTTTGTGATAACAATGCGTTGGGCTTACGATGGCCTCAAAGACATTGCCGACACCCGAGTGTGGAATAGTCTTCGGGTGTCGACAATCATATATAAACCCGAAGATAAGACCACTTCTATAATAGCGGTGTTTCGGCACAACAAACGATTGCTTAGTTATGTTTTAACCACTAATGCCACACATGAAGACCGACGGGCCCTCTATTATAAGGACTATTCAAAAGGGAAACCTTTGGTATTATTAATGAATCATTAAAATAAAATCAATAAAACATTTTTATAACAATTTATTTAATTATAATAATAATTTTGATAACAGGAACCAAAGAAACATATTTCCAACACATTAACAGTAAGTGTTTTACTATTACCTTAATTGTATTTATCACTTATGATGTTTTTAATTGATATGAAATATAGTTTACAGACAATGAATTGATTGACTGGTCATCAGTGGTCAGGTGTCTCATAAATTATATGACATATTCAGTAATTAGTAGTTATACTGAAGGCGTGTGTGAAGTGAATCGCAAATACAATTCACATCAAAGTGTCTTCAATATCGGCCCATATATTGTTTACCAAACGGGCCGTCATTTCTATTACAAACACCGCAAAGAAAGTGGATTTATATTTGATGCAAATGTTACACAACTGTTGGGAACGTATTTCGGTATATATTTTAAAAAGTTGTCAAATATTTTATTTAATAAAAACTAATTTTAAATCTATAGACACTCGCCATCGAGTGACCGGATATTCACATAAAGTGAGCGATCGTACGATTTATTGGGATGTGATTATACACGGCGTCAGTCACGCGGCTTATAGAGAGTTAGGGTATTATATATACGGCTTGTTTGGCTATAACGACAGCAACTATCACTTCATGGATACACTGACACCAATTGTCGATTCAAACAAATACCCGCATTTGTGGTTTCAATTGGATCAGACACTGGGCCGAGATATGAATGGATTGGGAGGCGTGTCGGGCAACGACACCCGTTTTATGCCGGCGCTCACACTGTTTCGCCAGAAGCTATTTATTCATAGGCGACATTCAATAATGGTTACCATATTGTTTAGTATAGTAGGAACCGATAGTCAGGGCTGGACTTGCAGTCAAACGGTTACCGATAAATTACAGATGTATTATCCATTCAAACATTTAAATCCGTCATTATTTAGTCCGACAAAGTATTATCATTTCTCTGCGTTTGAATTTAAAGTGTTTATCGGTTTATATGTTGAAGAGAACCAATACTCGCCACGACTTGTGGCTAATTGTGCCAAATGTGCCGACAATAACACTATTTATTACTACAAATTGATATATAAGAAGAATATGAAGAATATATACGAGAGATATTTTGAGGTATGAATTGATTCAATTAATTGTGTTATTGATTGTAAATTATTTGTTAATTTATAGCATAAGGCATCCTATATTGACTACTATTGTCCGAAATCGATCCCTTCTAACACATGGTTTACATCAAACATATTGTCATATATTGTGGCAATACTTGTGTTGATTCTGATTGTGTCGACAATTATTGTCGCTTTCATTGCCTATCGATTCAATGCAAACAACACTCAAACCACTCAAAGATCTCACAAACACTAAAACATTTATTGAAAACCATTTCAAAATTATTCACAAAACTATTAAACACTTATTTTGTTAATTTCCATATTTTTATTTAAATTAAAATTTATTTGAAAAACATATGCAAAAAATGATTTATTTTGAAAAACCAATTGTTTATTGTGTTAAAAATTTAGAAGATTATAAATATTGTGGTTTAAATAAATATCTCAATCACTTGTAATTTATGGAAATTAAAACTAATTAAAAATAAAATGAATTTATATATAAATACAGAAAATATAAAAATATATAATCAATTGTTGGTTACATCGGGAGTGCAGACCAGACACCGTCGATGACACTCATCCCAACACTGAAGACAATAGTTTACATTACAATCACTATTATTGCACTTCACGTACTGATTGTGTCCAACATTTTCATCACAAACCACACACTTCTTCGTCGCAAACAATGCCAACACTTTTCCGATTAGTTTCACAAGAAGTCCACAATTGGTTTCATTAATCAATCCGTAGACATAAGCGTTGCTCAAGTGATCGGTCGACGTCTTGAACAGTTTGTCGGCCACTAAATGCCGGATTCGTTGGACGCCATATATCAGGGATCCCTTCCTCNCTTGAACAGTTTGTCGGCCACTAAATGCCGGATTCGTTGGACGCCATATATCAGGGATCCCTTCCTCCTCTTCAGAGTCTTGTTGTAGAGAAAAAGCGATCGTTTTTTGGCTCTTTTGGGGTAAAAGTAGCCGCAAATCACTCGTCGGAGTCGTAATGAATACATGTCCACAAAATTCAATAGACATACGAATAGAAAGTATTTGTAGAGTTGAGGTGAGACGGTGTCTTCGGTGCCGATCAGATCCATTGTACACTCGCTTGTGGTAAACGTTTTGTTGATTACGACATCAAAGTCGTAATTCTGTAGAACTGCCCGAACCTTACGAACCATAAAACCTTCATGACCATCATCACCATCATGGTTATTGTATTTTTCATCCCCGGTTACGTTTGGGTGCATCCGATGTACACCGTATTGAGTGATGACCACATCCTTCAGGTTGTTGTACAGCAGATACGATATATCGTAAAGCATTACATCCAAAGTGATTGACACCCAAATCACTATCACAAATATGACCAGAAATGTTGTCGTGACCTTTGCGTGCCTTTTCTCTGCCGGTGATAGTCGATAGCTATACGGATCCAATAGATCCAGTCTTTCAACCTTCTTCAGCGGTAATAGAGTTAATTTGTCCTAAAAATAATTTCAATGATAAGTGATATCAACAGAAATAAGACAATGAATTACCGCTTTTTTTCTTCGGGCGTCGATTCGCCGGAAATAAGTAGTGATATAATTGTTATCAAAGTTAATGTCTTTGAGATAATCGTAATGATAGGACTTCGCGCCCAAGAATACCATCAGAAAGAAGAATATCATTAATCGTCGGACAACTGATCCGGTCATTCGCGCATACATTGCGGCGCTTCTCTTGTAGCTATTGATCTCTTTGGCCACTGATTTGTATTTCAATATATCGCGGAAATCAGGAACACTTAAGTTGGACTTAATGTCGAATTTATCGGTGAATAGTTGTGTCAAATTAGATCTCCTCTTG